TATTTTATGTATTAAATATTATGTATCAAGTAAGTATATTTTATGCGCCGTTCATACTGCTAACATTGTTAAGTATTATCCATAGTAAAAATATGATCAGCAATGGATTGGTAATGATGGGCCAATTCACTGGCCCGCTAGGAGCTCACCCAGACCTTGCTCCTCTAGATTTTCTGTATCTGAGGCTACATGAAAAATGAAGTTTTCAAAACCTAACCGCACGATATTGAAGATTTGCGTCAGCGGATAGTACTGATATTTCAAAATGTAATGTATTCAGTACCTATGCATATTATTGTTTTCTGCATTCAGAACACATCGTCTACGGACCAACCCAAATAAAGAAGGGGGAAAAATTGATGATGTGCGATCCCACAGTAATTTTCACATACATTATACCCCATTAAAATTGAACGAGCTAAAAAGCAAGATCTTCTACTTTCTTGTTCTTTGCTCGGCGAGGGAAATATTACAGAGACCCTCAAGGACGGAACTTAATAAAATTTTTATTTTTGCTATTTATAAAAATTATACAATTATTGGTACAGCAAAATAAAGAAAAACAGAACATATGAGTAAACAGAGTACAAAAACGATTACTTTTCATTACACTGACGTATTATTGTTGATTTGTTTTCTAATATTTCTTATCCTCGCCTTTGACAGCGAAATAAAAAGAAGAAAAAGGATTGAACGTGAGAAGAGTTAAAATTAATAATAGTGAAGTTGAAAGTTCATGATAATAATATAATGAATCAGACAATCATTTGGAAAAAAAAATTGCAATAATTTAGCAAATATGAGTAGCAAGGTACTTACAGTGGGATGGAAAATAATTATGAACGATATAACATGAATTTTGCTTACACACAAAAAATTTGAAAATGAGTCTCAAAAATACACTTAAAAATGTCGGATGACATGGGAGAAAAAACAATTTTTTATTTCGACAATACAAGATTGCAAAATCGACTTAAATAAAATGTAAAAGCCAAAGATGAAACCGCAATACTGGAAACGATGGAAAGGGGAGGGGTGGACTAAAAGGAGAGGCAGTATTCAGAGCTCAATCAGGAAATTATTTTATTGCAACACTATGCAAATACTGACTCGATGACCTTTCAGAGGCTTATTGAAGAAATATTTTGTGTTAGACAAAAAGGAATCAAGCACATTGCAATGTCGCTAAATTTATAGGACTTATTTTAAAAAAATCATGGTAGCACAACAATGTACTCGAGTCCCTAATGGTATACACTAACCTTGACAAATACGGTCGAGATACAGAACATTTTCCTGTACAGAGCTTTTGGAAAGGACGAAACACCAGGGCTGTAGTAACTGAAACTGCCGAAAGGCTAAAGTCAAACCGGAGTTAAAATTACGTGCGCCCGAAAGATATTGCTTTAAATTCCTTCATTTTACAAAACTCAAACTGAGCGACAAATATTACGAGACCTCCCTTTGTTCCCTCACCCTTTGAGAGCTTCAATCAATATCATCTGCTTCAGGAGTTCGAAAAATAAAAAATAAAAAAAAAGAGAAAGGTTTATACACCTCGGAATATGAGGATACTCGACTCAACACACCAAGAACTTAACTCTTCAACAAAGGATAAAAAATCAAAACCTCAACAAAAACCAACGTTCTTCGCAAAAAACGAACAATAAAATATTAAAATCATGCTCTCAGCTACTTCCGCCGTGAACGCAGTAGAGATTTCCTCCGAGATCTGCTTGATCCGAGGAGAATCAAACCGAATAATTATCTATTAACATACAATACATTCGCATTTTATTTTGTTTTCTTGTCGCGTAATATTTCATAAATTCTTATACACAAATACCTAAACGGAAAATTTTTAGATCACAGAATAAGACTATTAAAAGATAAAACACTAACAAAATGTCTGTACAGGAGTTGATATAAGTAAAGCAGTAATTCCTACAGCAATATCCAGATGGCATTTCTGCGATCTTTGCTTTCTGGTTGAGGCTTTTATTGTTAGACGATTCAATACACGAAGAAATTTCCATCTAAATGGCAGCTGTGCAGGGGTCATCGAACAGGAAAATGCCAGGTTTACTTTCTTGCGTATTAAGTTCAACAGAGAAATTCCTGTATTTGTTACCATAGGCGTAGCTAAATCAGCTGAACATTTTAGAAAAGTGATCTTCAACCCAAACCTCACTCACGAGGAAGAGTCTGGGGGATATGAAATACCTGCCCGTACAGAAAGGGGTGCGAGGAACCTCTGGAAAATTGTTAAAAAACTGAGACCGGATTTGATTGCGTTTTGAAGCAATCCCCACGCAAATCATTTAATTTGTTGTGATTTTATTTGTATTGTTCCCTTCTTTTGTTCTCATTTCGCATTGATAGGAAAGGAAATTTAGGGTGATATATTTGAAGTCCAAATTTAGCGGGCCACCATATATACCATTACCATTTGGGCCCCTCTCCGGTCCCTCAATAGCCACGCCCATATTTGTTAGGGACACTCATTTATCCTATAATAGGCTCGTTATATCAACCATTTCAAATGCCGGGTTACTATTAAATATATATATATAAGCGATTTGGTTGAATGTCGGAATGTTCGCTTTAGTGGAAATTTTTTGGTATTTTTCATCGTCTGGTAAAGGTCCAAAATGCGTTGCGGAGACGGACAGTGCGGTAATACCGGAGCTCTGCCTTCATTGGTTAAGACGAATACGCGTTGTTATGTTTTGTTTTTTTTTAGCAGGTGATATTTATTAAACTTTCATTAATTAGGTATTTTTAATTTTTTAAAGGTCATTCTTCTTAAACTCTGATCATTTTGCGTACAAGAAGAAATTAATTATGTACGAAAATTTTTGAAAATTACTGGCGGCAGTACGGTGTGTGCATGCGTTGGTTTGCCTTTACCTAACTGGTTATGCGACAAACTCTCCTCCATGTTGAAATAGTGGTACCTTTCATTTTCAACGGATCTTTAAACCGTGTTAGATACACACTGAGTTTAATAGAGAGGTACCAAATATTATAGATTCTTTTAAAAACCAAATATCTGCCACTGAGAAGAATACTCAACTATGCCAGTTCTCATACGACATAATCAAGTGCTTTTAGGATCATGTTCATTCACTTGGTTCCTTAGGCAGCGTTAATAAATTACATAATGCTCTGTGGTTGGGAGTATGAGCCTGCGTCACGCTCCGTTACAAAATGGGGGGGGGGGGGAACCAGTACCGGCGATACGTAACGTAACCCCCTCTGTTGATGAAAGAACACACAAAATCCAAAATGTATCATCCTCATTTCTTTGACGTTATTTGTCACACTATCATTAAGTGTACCTCAAAATCCGATAGTATCATATTCAACAGTTTCCCACTATTTTTGGGATTTTAAGGGAGGGTCATTCGTTACTTCATTATTAACGGGAGTACGCGGTTGCGTTGGGAAGCGCTACAAGAGAGGGAAGGGGGTTGAAAATACCGAAAAATGATTTACATAAATTATGAACTCTCTCTGTTTAAAAAAAAAAGACTCCCCCTGAGTTTCTCCTTGCGTCAAAATTCTCTATGCTAGTCTACTGCCAGCAAGAGCTCGTAAATACCTTAAAATAATACTGGAACTGATCAGTGGAGGACGTTCGAGGAATTGTTGAAATGGTAGGCCATTGTGTGTTAGACCTCCGCAACGCATCTATACATTCAGGTTTAATATGTCTTTCTCTACTTTTATACAGTTGGTCTTTACTAGTTTCCGATGATAAAAAATGCAAAAATCACGAAAACAAAGACACGATTCTTCGTAAAAAAGAGCAAAATTAAACAAAATGAAGACCAAGACTTTAGGAACGTAAGATGTTTAAATGGATGAATAATTAGCAACAATGACAGCTTTGTAGCGACTGCACACTAGCTCATGGGCTAAAAAGTTGCCTCAGAATGTCCATTTCAGCACCATGCGTAAGTTCAGTATGTCATAATGGGCCTGTTGCAAACTATTGCCAGAGCAGAATTGAGAGTTGTTTTCTATAGATAATACCTCAAACATCACGATGGGCGCATTGGAAAAGTCTGAAATGCACTCATAAATTCACAATCTGCGTAAGAAATTTGCGTTTTTTTGAGCTTCCCGCTTCAAAAACGATACTACTGCACAGGTGAACATTCTATTAGAGGAGTCGCTCCATCGTCGGCAATATTCATCATGGCCGACGCTTGCGCAGTTCAAGGAGAGGAGAGTTCAAGGTCAATCAAGGCGGGCGAGGAAAATATGAACGTAAACACGTCGATTGTTATCTGATGCAATCCTGTTCAGGTGTCATCTCGTCCCATCACACGTGTTTTGGCGGATTGGCGTCGGCCATGATGAGTATTGCCGCCAATGGAACGACTCCTCTAACAAAATGTTCACCTGTGCCGTAGTATCGTTTTTGAAGCGGGAAGCTCAAAAAAACGCAAATTTCTTACGCAGATTGTGAAGTTATGAGTGCATTTCAGACTTGCCCGATGCGCTCATCATGATTTTTGAGGCATTATCTATAAGAAACAACTCTTAGTTTTGCTCTAGCGAAAGTTTGCAGCAGGCCCATACGTTTCGCTTCGGGCAAAATTTTAGTCAATAGACAAACCTAGCATGCTTTCTCCGAAGGCCTCGATAGACGATCAAACTCCGATACAATTCCGATACCAAAAGACAATTTGATGATAGTTGGTCACTATGCGACATTCTTCTATGAACGGACCGTCCAATTTTGATCAAAACGGGGTGCCACCATTCATTACTCATTTTCTTGCTGCACCGAGCATTTCTGTCAAGTTTTCATTTGAAAATAATGCGAAGTAACGATTTAAGGACTGATAACTCCCGAGACTTGGATGGGAATTGGTTCCCGAATTTGATGGTCTACCGAAGTCTTATGCGAGCATTAAATTCATCAGACGGCGTTTATTACGACTGAATCAGAAACTTAAACGGAAAAAAAAATAATTAAAACGTTTCTGTGACCAAAGGAAGAGTAATTTCAACAGAAGAGAAAAAACGGTAGCAATGAGGCAGTGCAATTTACACATAATCAAAAAGTTTCAGGTAGATGATGTTTTCAAACTCAAATTTTTCATAGCTACATTACGTGGGCGGCCTGACAAATTCTAGAAAATGTTTTGACACTCATTTAGTTAGGACACATACAATTTTTTTCAGTCAAGCCGGGCTGCCTGGCATTAGAGATGATGCTAGAGTACCTCGCGAACACTACAGACACTCTATTTTAGATTGATACGAAGATTGTTTTGTATATATGTGTGACATACGGTACGTTTGAAAACATGTATACGGTTGACATTTGATGATGGGGATAAAGGGGAGCTTAGATACGTTTTCTGATGCTTTTCATGGAACTAACAGAGTAAATTAAGGAGAAACATTGAAATATTTGGAACAAGTTCCAAAAAGTTCGGTATTAGTAATAGTATTCAGAGAGAAAAAATTTACTCTCACCAACTCCTTTCGGGACTTTCGCTGAGGATTTGAAGGGTGACTTCTTCAGGACCTGTCTGAACGGTCGTAAATATTGTTATTGCTCAAATTCCCTTTGGTTAAAAACGGTGCATGATTTACCGCAAAAAAAGAAGAAAAAAGCTAACATGACTTATCAAGACTCAATCCTCTCTTTTTCAATTCATCGTCAGGGTGAAATATCATTTGAGCTTTTTCCTGGTTGTCAACAGCTAAATTCAACAACCAATAGCAATCCTCCCCCGGGGAAATCGCGAAATATTTGGGGCGGGGAACTGCTTAGGCTGAAACTTCACTTCATTCGCAGAGTAGATCAATGTTCAAGGGTAGAAAACTAATGAGATCGATCAATTTTTACGATAATTTTGACGATGAAATATTTTGATTCAACGCTTTTTCCAGTAAAAAAGAGGAAAATTTCTATCGGTACCTTCTTTCATTTTCTTTGCATTAAATTCCGGTTCTTTTATTTTATCTTCCCTCACTTTGGCGGAGTCCTTGTGTATCCCAAAAGCCTTCAGCACTCTGTGAGCTTTGAGCTCCTGTCAATGATATAATAGCTGGGAGGTATGCTGTCATACTCTTAACGTCGGTTGAATGGCCTCCTCTTTGAATGAAGTCTCATGAAACGAATACCTTCAAATTCAAGTTAATTCTCTATTGCTTTGAGGCGGGCCAGTGCTGTGATCCCTAAATATCCCTGAACATTTTCAAAATCGGCACTAGTCATAATTGTGCTTTATCACAATATTGAGGTGATGCATATCTGATAATAATCTAAACGTCAAATTTTCTCGACTTCCTACAATGCCGGGCATATTGACGACTTACATCAAATACAATTTTGAGGGATTTTCGATTGAGTACGGCTCTGTCTCATGGATTTAAATAAGATAATACGAGAACGAGCACAAAGATGAACAGGGCTGAGAGAATCACTACCCTATCCAAAAAGATCGAGCTGATTACGGTTCAAGTTTCAATGCAACTATTCGCGCATCTGGGAGATGATGTTGATTACGTTCTTTATTGAAGGCAGAAGGAAAAAGATGGTGCCCTAAAGTAAATTCTGCTTCTCAGACTTAAAATGGAAATCAGTTAGGAGATCCTCACTATGGTTAAAATTCGTGACTTACAAAGCCCGAAAGAGGACTCGAGAGACTAAAAAAACTCAAAACATTGGTACACAGGAATAAAATGTAAACGAGGCAAAGAAAAAAGAATAAAATATACGTTTTAAGCCGTAACGGACTCATTTTCAGGTGCAAAAAACAAATCATATCGATAACATTCTTTATCCTTCTTCAGTTTTGGTTTCTCGGCTTAAAATGAGCCTGCGACGGCTCAAAAACGTCCAAAATTTTCAATGCTTGTTTTACATTTTTAATCTTGCTTACCGGTGTTTTCAGTTTTCACTCCATAATGACTTTATTAAAAGATAGGAATTCGACAATCGTGAAAGGCAAGTTATTGATGTTTGTGATTTGATTTTTTCTGCTAATGTTCGAGTTTGGACAAAGGAAGTAAAGATGAGCAAACTGATTCGGTCACTTTTACAGATCACCCGCTGAAATTTATTGCTTTTCAACCCGTCAAATCAGAAAACATACCGTCGCACACCCACACATTTTTGAATAAGTTCGGGTATTTACTATTGAAAGATCTCCAAGGTTAAGAAACAGGAGAATCAGTTGCGTTTTGGTTCGTCAAAACATTCGGTGTATTTGAACTTGAGGCATAGTGTTCACCCACGCGGTGGAAGTTAAAATTAGATATTAAAACAGAATTGGTCCAGACTAGAATAATCATACAAGTATCATAATTGATTCGCTCAATTAATGCACTTATTCTACACGTAAAATTTATCACCTATAAAACAAATAAAACAAATGTAAATTACTTGAATGCTCAAATATACAAACATATGTATATTGATAGAATGATAAAAGTATGTTTAAAAATTATTTACAAAGCCGGATCGCGACGGGTCCGCGTACCTATAATAAAAAGAGGTGGGGCCTTAAAATTATACGTTTGGGTAGCAGTGATTACTATACACTTACAATTCAGTAACAAGGTAAATCATAACAAAATATAATACAAATTAGGTATATAAAAAATATAATTAGCAGCAGTACAATGAGAAGTACGAGATTTGTATCGGAACACACGATAAAAAAAAAGTTTACCTACTTCATTTCTCTTCTTCGGAGACGTGCGTGTTGTGTGTGAGCGCCAAGGTTCGTGGAAAATACTCATATTTAATGGGAAACTATTGGGTGATACCAGTTACATTTATTTAGACCGATCAATTAAACACTAGGCTAGGCACCCCGTTCGTATGTGAGAGTAAAAGTAGGCTCATAGGGAAAGTAGGCCCGCAGTTTTCGAGGTTATAGAGGGGTTTATGAGGCTGCAATGGGCCTCCAGCAAAGGTTTGAGTGAAACCACTGAAGAACTTGTTCTTTTTTTCAAAGCTTCACAAGGAAAACGAATTATGCCACGAGAAGTCTGAAAATCAATTCCTTAGCAAGATATGAAGTGTTTACAGTCAACATTGGTTAAAATGGAAAAATTAGCAATCGCGTCATTTGTATTATAACTGACTTTCATTCGATCTGTGTTAAAAATACATGCTAATATTTCGTTCAGGAGCTGATTTCCAAACTTTCCTTGTGTGCATCGTTTTCGACGGAAGATTTAGAAGAAAAATCAAGTGGCTTAATCTAGTTCGGACCTTGTCTAATGGCCCATCTCAAATGACTTGTATTCAGGTCGCATGAACCTTTGAACAGGAATATTCGAACATATTTTGACTCTTCACAAATCGAAGAGTAAGATGTTCTTAAAATCCGGAAATGTAACATCATTTCAGTCTCTTCAGCTATTGAGAATACTTTACTTCTGAGAAATTCATGGGAATTCAAGTGCTTTTAATGCATTTCACCGAAGGATGAAAACCTTCAATTTTTGATTTCTTCCTGTTTTTGGGTGGTGGACCAAAGGATTACTTATATTTTCATCAAGGTAATTTTTTTTTTTCCTCTCAAAATTGGTAATCTTTTCTGTCACAGGATTCCACTATTTCTATAAGATTTCATCAAAATCTAAGAGATGAGAGATTATATAAATTTATAAATTCGAGCGATGCACACGATTTTACAACAAAAAAACGGAGTTGCATGTTGAGATTTCAGAGAACGGCGGCCAGGTATCAATAAAGAGATCAGGAGCGTTACTTGATTACTTAATGAACTTTGACAAGAAATCGGAATGCATGTTCATGTCACGTATTAGAAGTAACTAATGTGGTTTGATACAGCTAATCAAGTAACGTCAGAAAGTAAATAACTATGAAACCATAGTTTTGGAATCTGTCCTTGGGCTGGACACATTTCTTACAAACTTAGCAAAATTCGAAAACTGCAGTGGTAAGTTTAGTTACAGCTGAGAAAAATTAATAGTTACTGAGGTAATACTGTGTACCGGTAACAATGATGATTTAGACTATCAACGCAATGGTAACATTGACTAAATAGTTAGGTAACTTTATGTGGATTGTGCGAGTGCTTTTCTGCGCAGAGGGATCACCCAACCTTGGAACGTCACCGACTCTGGACGAGGAAACTGATCCAGCTCTTTCCATCCTTGAACGTTTCGGCATTTTCAGCATGCGAGCGAGTCTGTGAACTGAGTAAGAGCGGGGATACGGAAACGTTACGTTACGTTACGTGCGTTACGTTCGTCCCGGCGCTACGTCCCGGGCGAGTCTCTTCGGCTGCTGTCAAGTGTCGACGAGGAATTAAAAAAGTAAAAACGAACAAAGAAAGGAGGAAACGAACATACACCAATCAAACGATCGAAATTAAAATGGAAAGTAACGACGGGCTTGCAGAGGCCCGGCTCCGGTCCTTCCACCGGTAAAAAAGTTACCGATGTATGTGCAGTTACGTTCTTTCGTCTGGAAAGCGACGCAATGAGGCCCTAGTGAACCCACTTTTGCCAGGAGCGAACTAGAACCGAAAAGTTAGGTGGAAAAATCGGTCCACAATTGCTTAAACTGCCTCATTTTATGGGTTTTTTGCCGTGTGAGGAGATTGATGGTCTAAGACCACCCTAAATATTGACCGGCCCGCCGGGAAAAAATTCGATGTTTCTGCCTAGTGTTCGAATCTCACGGAAAAATTTAGGGGCCAGTTTGTCCTACTTAATCAATAATTAGGGACCATTAGGGTTTTGTTAAGTTTTATTCCTGGAATGATTAGGACTAGAACCAGATGGCTTTCGACATTGAACTTAAAATCCAGCTGACAACCAATTTTCACAGCTGTACATTGCCCAACTGAATCCTGCCCGGGGGGCACTGATAGATTTAAGTATCAATCATACAATTTTGTCTCAGTTCAAGCGCTTTCATAGCTAGCTGACCGCGAATATTCAGGCGGCTACTTTGGCGACGATTACAACTATCCAGGCGCAAACTTTGGCCACGAATACACGGCCTACGATTACTGTTTAGGCGCCAATAAGCTAGCTGACCACGAGTATTTAGGCGGCTACTTTGGCGACGATTATAACTATATAAGCGCAAACTTTGGCCACGAATACACGGCCTCAGGTTATCCTTTAGGCGCCGATCAGGAGTCCCCTGTCACTGTTTCCGGCTGCCTGTTCGTTCCTGGCTTTCGCCTGCTGCACTAGAATCTGCGACCACTTCCTTCACTTCTCCACGTGTGCGCGGACTAAGGTGGTGTGGTGCCCTCGGAGACGAATGCTCGGAGCCGGGCCGGGGGGAGGAGAGGGTTGATGAGTGGGAGGGGGCGGGGATTAACTGGAGGCTTTGGTGGGTGTGCTGGCGCTGGGCGTGGGGTCGGGTCGGTCGGGCTTGTCGTCGCCGTTGGAGAGTTGAGCGAGTTTGCGGTAGAGCGGGGAGTTGACGAAGCGGGGATACGAGTCGCGGTGCATGAGCGTGTAGATCTGCAGCTGGGCCTCGTCGAACGTCCGCGTCGTCGGCACCACCATGTTCTGGTTCACCGTCTCCCGCACCTTCGAGTCCAGGCTCACCTGCCGCAACACACAAACCACCCGTTAGCCACACAGATATGCCAATACCAAGAACAAACACCAGAATGGTACATACACTGAGAAAAAGCTACGTCTAATAGACATACCGTCCGTTCCGGGCTTAGAAGTCGAAAGTTCCGGGTGTCATGAGTCGTAGCTTCGACTATTCCGGGTGCTACACACGGGACATTCGGCCTCCGTGCCCGAAACGCGGACGGTATGTCTATAGCCAGATAGTTATACCAATACCAAGAGCAAACACTAGAATGGTACAAACACTGAAAAAAAGTGACGGGTTGTATAGACCTACTGTCCGTTTCGGGCTTAAAGGCCGCTACAGAAAGTGTGCATTAGAGATGGCGTAATTATCATGCGTTACATGGTGCTTCCTCAGACTTTGGGCTGCCTGCAACTATTCCTCCTTTATGGTTGTCAATGTGGCATACTTTAGAAAATGAAGGGGAACTAACTATCCTTACGTGAATCCTATTCCATTCCATTCTAATGATGATTCAATGTACGATCCACTGACCCATCGATCGAAAAGAAAATGGTCAGCATGCCTCCGTACAAATAGTCGCTTATCAACGTAATGTACTTGGACGTGCGTAATCAGCCAAACAGGGTGATAAATGCTGCGAATTTCCGCCTTGTATTAGTCGCTTATCAACATAATGTACCTGGACGTTCGTACTCAGCCAAACAACATGATAAATGCTGCGGATTTCTGCCTTGTATATAGATACCTAGTTAAAGCTAGAATTGATGCTGTTTATTCAGCATTTTCTGGAAGAAGACCCCCACAGTACATTCCGATTCCGAAATTTTTCGCAGTCCTTAAGTCATTAGCGCATGTCGCTAACAGTATCGGGAGGCAGCATCTCGGTCAGAATGGCACCTTGAAATTTGTTCTTGCTCCTAAAGATGATCCTGCTGATCGAGCTCACCGCATAACAAATCTTGTTACACACAACATACTTGAAAGCTTTGCTGACTTAGTAACCGCTGTACACTTATACGCGGCTTCATTCGAGCAGGATACATATCCTCTGCCACTACCGGAACTGCTTGGTGGGTTCCAACTGCTAGAGAGGCATTCAACGTCTCCAACGTAGCAGAGGAAGTCGACAATGTAAGGATCAGTGCAACTTTCGATGAATGGACCCCGGCTGATGCTATACTGTGCCCTTTAGTCCAAAGAGGCAATACTGAACTCGAAGGGGATACGGATCAACTACTCAAATGGTCGACCGACGAAGTCATCGGAATTCCCTTCATCAAATCATCCTTCAACTTATTAGGTTTAGTTTTAATAAAGTTTTCCAAACTTCCCCAAATGATTGAACATAGTATTGCCAAATTTTGCCTAATGTGCCGTTATTTTCCCACATAGTTTAATGATATGATTACAATATTTTTGTGGGAAATCGAGAAAAAAATCAACCTGAAATCAAAACTAATAAGGCTTACGAGGGTATCTGGCCCTCTCATGACCCCTCCATTGAAATACAGTGTTGCCAACGCGGACTGATTTTAAGTCGTATTAGTGTCACTCACTTTGCGGATTCACTCAGCAGGAAAATTGATGACAATTTGTACGGTCGCATACTGACCATTTTTTTTTTTCGATTGATGGGTCTGGTCCAACTATGATGATTTTTAGGTCCTCTTAAATTTTTCAATCAATGTCATAACGTGTGCTTGTTTTCTGCAGATTCGGCTCCGATATTGAAGGCTATGTATGAACTTCCTATCGTTTGCTTTTGATTGTTTATTTATTTCACTTTCCCGGCTGATTAACAGTTTTGAATATCCCAAAACGTCTCAGGCATTTTAATTGAATTTTGACCGGTTAGTTTCACGTACAGGCAATTTCAAGTACCTATAGCAGCTGCAGGCAGGTGAAAAAGAAAATCTTGCCACCCTGAAATGAAATTTGATTGGTTTCAATTTGTGAAACACTTCTGATACTTCACTTCACACTGATTTCGGGATTCGTGATAACAAACAGTATGCCTACGTTTGTTTCGGATTATCTCCAATACTTTCTCGTATTACCAAAGAAGCTCTACACAAAGAAATTGAAATATTTATCGCACCGTCTCTCGCAAAGTATATTACGAGAGTAGTTGCAGTGTGGAATTGGAGAAAAAGATAACTTACCTCTTTTGGCGAAAGAATAGAAATATAGTCTTCGTAAATAAACCTTGCTTTTTCTTCTATAGCTTCTGGATTCGACTCCTTTTTTAGTTCTTCGCACGCTAACCAAAATAGGATATTTTCTTCACTATATTCACATTTAAGGAAGTCTCTAAATAATTTGCGACCCGCTGTGAACAGAAATAAAAAGGCATATGTTTTAACCAAACTCATCATATAACTTCCAGAGAGGGGCAAACATCATCAACCGAAACACCAGAGATCAAGCCAGAGTTATTGTGCTTTAATAGATGATCTTAGAATATAACGAGATCTTCACGCAACTTTACTTGGAATTCTTCTGATGATTTCAAAATTGAGTAAATGGATTTTAGACAGCCGTTGATAGGAATTCTACCAGGGTTTAATCGCATTTGAAGGCGAATTTTATTATTTTTCAGCTAACCGTGAAAACTGTTACGAAAGAAGCAATAGAGTTGAAGTGATCGAAATAATCAGGCTGCGACAAGATGGAAGATATACAAAATCCTATATACCGATAAAAAGGTCCTTATTATCGACTTACATGGGACATTATCAAGTTATGGGAAGCTTTGGCGAAATTTCTGGTGTTTGACAATTCGAACTAATGTTTAGACTTTGAACATATCATAAGTATAGTCCATTATAAAAGTTCAGTGTGCATAAAGTAAACTTGTTAAGTATGGTTCCATTGATCCTCATTACCAAAATGTTCATAAGTGTAATGTTTTCCGAGTGATATCTTTGATGAAGAGATTGCAATAATGTAATTCTGACCTCATAGTGACTAGTCAAATGCAGGATAAAGACACAGCGTCAGAAATAGTACAAATCTTGAAAGCATTATTGCATATAATCCGTTTCTTCATCTTACACCAATACATGATCGCGTTCCCACGATCATGTTTGATGAATTCTTTATGTTTCTAATTAATAAATATACGTCAAAAACTAAAGCATTTATAGAAAAGTTGCTACTCGCAACTTGCTTTGATGCTGCCATGGCCTGTGGTCTTCGTGAGCGATAAAACCGTTTCTAAACACCGGATGGATTCATTTCTGTCTCCACGGTATTTACTTTAAAGTCGTGAAAATAATAAATTCAATTCTGAGTGTACAAACAAGAATTTTCACTATGTTAAAACTCATGGAACAATAATCATCGGATGTCCACGCAGTTGAATAGTCGAGTCATATTTTCCACGCTTCAGATTTACTGAGAGTTAAGACCACATTGTTAATAAAAAAAAAAAATACACCAAAGTAAATATGAAAACCTGGTCAAAAAGAAGGCGAGTGGAATTACGCATTTTGAAGAAAAATCACTGGAATAAGATGAAGGAAAATATGTCGTGGGCGGTAAACAATCACCGGCAATTTGCAGGCGGCATGCATAAAAATTCCTAACATCGCAATAATTTGCATTGACATAGTAAGGGTTCCATAGGTAATAACTCCGGAAATACGACCGCAAGAGCGCCTTCAACCAACGTGGTACTCTACGCTTTGCAAGAAAGTTAGTTTAGTTGCCTATCCGAACTAAGACCAACTAAGGACACGGATTTCATCACCAACACGCGCGGGTACGTAGCTGGTACCACTTATTCAAGAAGAGACAAACGTCTGTTATATTCCAAGCAGCAGTGCCTCCTCTTGTTCTTGTATCTCTGAATTTTTGTCTTTTTAACACGAATGAGATGCAATTTGCCAGCGATAGTTAACTGCCTCTGACACATAAATTGGTGATCAAGAATAGCAACCTGAGTCGCGCGTCATCGCATTCGAGTGATTTATATTTTCAAGGGGCAAAACTGACTCAACTATGTGACTGAGATCGTACATGAACTCCGAGGTTTAGAAGACATTGATCCAGCTCCCATAAATTAATAGTTCGAAGTTTATTTTTCAACACCAGCAGGAACTACTGCAGGTGGTTCCAATTGTATCCAATTGGTTCCAAACATACTTCCTCGACTTTATAAATCTCGGAAAACAATATTCACAAAAATCAATGCGATTCAATTCACCATTGCTTTCAAAAGAGTTAAGACCAAGGAAATATTAAACGCGATTCCGATTGTACAAACAGGAACTCGCTTTCTCAATGTCAAAACCTCAGGGAACAATATTCACGGACGTGAATGCAATTCAACAGGTAAGTTATACGGAAACCAAAAGCGGGAGGTTTTCGTAAGGAGATTTAAAATAGAAAACTCTCCACTGATTGAAGGAACGGAACTGTATTTTGGGGGAAACGTGCAATCGCTAAAGGGCTTCGGCCGGATTTTACCAGGGACACCGCCGAGTTTATACGGAGAGCTAAGGGTCTTTCTGGGACTTGAAAATTACTTCGAGGGGACGAGGGGAGAGGGAACATCTAATCTTCCGATTGGATTTGGCGTTCAGGGCGGCTCAACAAAGGCATTCTCTGCCGCGCTCGGGTAAAAAACCGTAACAGCATACGGACGCTTTCAATTCCTCCCTGACACGAAGAGAATTCTTAGGAAAACTCGTGACATCTCTTTCCCTTAAGATTCTCCGAGAATTTTATTTGCGATGTAAACTGGCAAATTTGAGGGGATTTTATTCTTAACTTCAACCAAAAATTTACATTTTATCCAGAAAAATTTGGTTAACTCGGATCTTCACATCATGGCGTTCATCCTGAATTCCTGGCACGGTAGTTATCTGTCCTGAAATGTTAGCGCACCTGAAAACGGCAACTCCTGTGCTAGGGAAGAACGTCGTGTGAGCCTTCAGACGTACCCAAATTTTCTTTGACAAATCACGAATTTTCGAGAGAACTTGAGAATGTTTTTTCATGAGATTTTCCGAGAATCTTGATCGCGATGTTAGCTATAGCGTGCCAGCAATTTTTAAGGAAAATTATTCGTAACTTCAATCGACAATATATATTTTGGCGAATGTCGAATATTTGGCAAAAATCGGATTTGCACACGGCGTTTATGCTGAATACCTGGCACGCCTACTGCTGCGCTAGGGAGAAACGCTAAACGAGCTTTCAGTCATTGCCAAATTTTATTCGTAGAGTGACGAGTTTTTGAGGAAATATTTAATAATTTGTCTTTCGACTGACCGAAGTATTTTGGTCGTAATTTGATCTTGAGCTTCTGGAAATTTCAAGGGGATTTGTTCAAGTCTTTCTTTAACGATAAATACTTTTTGAGAGGAACTTTGACGATATTTGAATGCTCATACGGCGTTCTTCCTAAGCATGGTTGAGTTCTGCCGTGCTAAGAAAAAACGCAGTATGAACCTCCAGGCGTTGCCAAATTTCCTTTGATTAAACACGAATTTCCTGGTAAACTTCTGAATATTTTCCTGCCATTTTTTCAGATAGTTTTTCTCGCAATTTCACTTAAAATTCCTGAAAATTTCAAGGAAAAATATTCATAACTTTCTTGAGAAATGAACATTTATCGAAGGAAAGGCAACTCTCGAATGTTCATACGGGGTTCTTCCTAAGCATGGTTGAGTATCGCACGGGCGACGGATTGTTTACAGGATGATGAGGAGTTTTTAGAAACCATCGCCCGGCTCGAGCGCGGATTTGTCCCTGCGGATTTAATATTCTACGAAATTCCATTCATCACGACTCGGTTGGATACGAGTGTTGTTTGGAATTGCTTGATCACGAGCTTGGGGTTTCATAGAAGCACCTGGAATCGGACGATAAATTGTTGGAACGGTTTTGCGCGCGTTTATTTCGACTGCTAAGTTAAGTTAGAGGGTTACATCATGGATCGAGAGAGAAATCAACGGGAATCTCTTTTTGTATCATTACGATGAATTCATTAGCGCCATCAAGTACAATCGTCATAGTGGGCACATCATTCTAACAGCAATTACAAGGAAGCCGAGGTATTTTGAATCAAATTCAGTTGACTGGAAACCTGTCGCGTGATTTCACATAAAAAACTCGTTGTTTACACTCATTAATGGGTCGTTTCCTGATGATATATTTTGCAGCCTTTATATGCGAAGCTACTAGATTTCACACATGGTTGTCAAGACAGGCATACAGATGAAATCTTAATGACAAAACTCATGAAGAGAATCCGAGAAAGTTTCATTGAAGTGGGTTTTTTCGGTGAACTTTGAAGGATTCTCTTCATGATATATGTGGTATATCTTACAGCCCTGCTTGGATCCTATACAATCTACAAAACCTACATCCATGTATGTGCTGCAAAATGTAACTGTTTTAATTGGTTTTTCTTCTTACAACATAACGCGTTGGACCCGCAAAAGTCACATTTGCACTAGCCGAGTCACCACTTTTTTTTGCAGGAGACCACCCAGAAGAGAAATATTGGGTGAACGCATCATACATCACACCCGGTCAGCGCATCCAACCCCCCCCCACCCCTCAAATGGTTAAGCTAGCTAATAATGCACCCAAATCCACCGAGCGCAAACCCGCTTAGGACGAGGCTTTCCTGTACCCTGATCTACCTCTCGTCTTAAGTCCCGCCTTAAGTCTTGTGGGTATGACTAGCACGTTCAGTACACGGAAAACGCCCCGCGGGGCAACATCCAAAGGGACCCTTTATTGATGCGGGACAGGACACAATGGCACATACACAAACACTTTCGCTGAGCTCTGGGGGGATCAGTTATCAGGGAAAATTTAAGATCTTGAGAGGGACCCAACTGACCTGGCTATCAATTTTCCACCCTTCGAATGTTTGCTGCAAGAGTCCACGGCAAATAGGTTTAAGCGCTTCTACACTGCGACTGAAGGTCGTCTGGCGTCACTTTTACATGCAAGGTAAATGCAAGAGGCAAGATACAGATCTTCTGTCGCAGTTTGAAAAAGCGATAACTAATTAGGCGTGAATTCTACAAACATGTCACAAAAAAAAGAGTTAAGACGAAAAATTTCACGAGAGAATTTGGCATCGCTGATGCAGAACTAATGGTTATGTTATGGCTCTGCGATCGCGGAACTAGAGAAACGTTCCGTTGGCGAATTAAAATAAATGGCTGACAGATTAGCTCATTTAGTGGGACCTCCATACATATATCTACGCGTTGTGTTGGAACAGGGGGTTCTCCTTTCTATCTTTCAACTCTCCATTTTCTCTAAAAAATCTGTGACTTAAAGAATAAGCCAAAGAAGAGGAAA